CTTATTTGGGTATAATAAAGTAATATTTTGGAATATTTATAAACATCTACTTATAAAGAAAAGATAGTTTATCTATTTATAATTTTATTAGGAAAAGAAAAAGTAGTTTATTTATTCATAATTTTATTAGGAAAATAAAAAGTAGTTTATTTGTTTATAATTTTACTAGGGTTCTGAAAAACTTTTTGATTGTTTGTGAGGGTTATCTATTTGGAATGCCCTTTTTCCATCTATTATCTCATAAATTGTTGGTTTATTATTATATGATATCTTTGTATTATGTTGTTATGTATTATTATTTATCAATAAATTCTGTGCTCTGTATTAGATATAATTAAAAATTATATAAATATACTTCTTTGGTACCTCCTTATTTAAATCCTTTTCTTATTAAATATTGCAGTGAATGAATGTTAAACTAAGCTTATTTATTTATTCTATTATTATTATTTTGTCTTCTATTTTATTTTGTCATTAACCTTCCCGCTTTCTAACAACAGTTATATTTTACTTTCTTTAAGTAGATTTTTTTTTTTCCCTTTCTTTCTCATCTTGTTTTAAACGATCAAACATTTCCTAATAATTTTTAATTGCTGGCAGGTTACTTCACCACTGTGCTACCTTGGTGCAGGAGCCAGATATCTACGATTCATAAGTGCTCCGACTGCGGCAAGACCTATAGGCACAAGTTTCACCTCAAACGTCATAAAACTTTCGAGTGCGGTAAAGAGCCAAAGTTCCAATGCCCGCATTGCCCTCACAGATCTAAGTTCAACTTTAACCTCAAAAAGCACATTCTTAACATGCATTGCGATAGGCTATTTGCATCGCCTGCTATCAAAGTTGATCCAAATGTGACTGTATGAGTTACCCCGATTGTGATCGAACAGTGCCTAACCTGTATTTAAAGTCATAAATGTTTGACTTATGAGCAAATCTCACAGGACCAATAACCTCTTACCTCGAATTTAGCAAAAACTTATTAAGTATTAAATAATACTATCACCTAATTTTTTAATTGTTACATTGATTTGTTATAAAATATTATTTATGACATAAGAATTATCTCTAAACTCATTACCTCAGTTACTCTGTATATAACGAATCATAAATAGAAGTTTTATTCAAGAAATAAGCCGATGTAAAATTTCAAAAAGTTTGCTGTTTTAAACTAACTTTTAATGGTTATTGGTTTTGAGATATTGCTGTTAGAGTTACATATATTAATTTTGTTATTTCTAGAAAAGAGAGTATTGTTTATATATATTATTTAAAATTACCTGAAGATATATTAGATATAGCGATTGGAAATTTGAATCTTAAACTTTTCTATTAACGAATAGACAGATTTTTTTTACAAAAGTTATTAAGATTCGGTTGAAATAAAATGATCATCAAATTGTAAAAAGTTTAACCAAAGGTTATTTTACTAAATATGAAAGAATAATTACATCATTTATTTACATATTATTGAATTCAATGATATTGAAACAGTTAAGTTTAATATCATTGTCGAAAAATGAATTCTTTTGTCCAATAATAAGTTTTTAATTAATTTATGATTTCATCTTGTTAATTTTTAAATTGTTCACTTTAGTTTAAAAAAGATTATTTATTATTTATTGTGTATGAAAAATATAGTTGATTAATTCTATTTAAACAGGAGGTTAAGTGTATACATACAATAATAAATGCAGAACAGATAAATTCCTTTATTTTTTTTTATTAAAGTATTATAGAAGTAAATTTTCTATTATTAACTTGTTTTATTTATCATTATTTTGTCATTACTTTGTATTACATACAATAAATGAAAATGAGTATTGTTTGTTTTTGTCTTGGTGATTAGTCGTTTTTTCAAGTTTGTTTATTGTTCATTGTGTAATTAAAATATGTTATGAACTGTCGGATACAGTATGAATGTTTCATTTATTATAATTTAAATATATATAACTTTTTGTTAATTTGAAATGTATTGTTAAATTACTAATTTCTAATTTATCTGCTTCTGCCACTGACCTGCCTGTAATTTTATTATTTTTTCTCGCGTTTATATTAATATAGTTAGTTGAAATATATAATAGACTGGTTGTATAATTAAAAATGTTTAATTTATATTTAGATGATTACGGTGTTGTTTAATATCATGTATAGTTTAGCAAAAGTTATTAGATATTTGTTGAGTGGATTTTATAGATTATATCGTTTTACTGATTAAATTATCTCTGATAATATATTTTGCTATGATTCATTTTTTTTTGCAATTTCCTGATGATAAAATATTACAAATAACTACGTAAATAGGTATATAAGATAGAAAAGGGGTATTTAAAGTGTATTTGAGTTTGTGTGTAAGTGTATTTAAAAGCACTTTTGGTTGAAACCGAAACAGCTTCATGCTGCATACCCTGAAGAAGACCTACACAGTCGGCTTTGTATACTAATAATTTGTTTACTATTTTAGTCATTTAATGACCGCCACTCCGGACCTTACTCAATAATATACCATGGTCAACTATCAAGTATTCAATTCTATAATGACATTAATTATTCGTTAATATTAATTTGAGTTTTATTTGCAAATTTATTGGCTTTTTATAATTTTAATTTTTTAAGGCAAACAATTCGGAGAAGTTAACACATCACAGTGAGTCGAGCATTATATTTATATTTTATATCATTATATTTTTTATATAGTATTCCAAATACAAATATACACAAAACAATTTAAATTATTGTATAATTAAAAAAAAATAAACCTGTACCACTACAGTCCATGAAGGGTCTCGCCGTCAGTACTATGCCAGTACTCTTACAAGGCCAATGGTTGTACAGAGAGGTGATTGGGCCAAGATTATGCTCAACTGCCAGGTTTTCCTCCTTAATAATTGGAAAATGAGTATTTATATTATATTGCTACTGTTAGTGCAAAAGATTTACAACAATTTTACGTGTTTATTATCTTTCCACTAAAGATGACATTTTGTAGTCTGTAATTACTAAATAGGAAAATAGCAGAAGGAAATAAAATATGAAATCGAACTAATAAATCATAAAGAAGTAATTGGTTTTTATGTAATAAAAAACTCAATTTTTACATACAACCTTTTGTCCTAACAATAACAGTATTTAATTTCCCAAGTTTACTGAAATAATGAACGCTTCATTATTAATAAAGAATCAACTTATATAATGTATTTTATCTGAACATGCACGATTTTCAACTATAGAGAACTATTTTCGGATAGTTAATTATATTTTGAAATTCACTTATTTTTACTTTCCAGTGAATTTTATCTACTTTTTTAGATATTATTTAGTAAATTAATATAGTTGTCTAAGCTGTTGTCATTATTTAATGCAGATTTTTTAATTATTATTACTGTGGCATATTTTTGTTTATAAGAGCTGAATAGAACTAGATTAAGTGAAATAAAATATTTCTGGCACACTTATGTAAAAGCGATTAACTTTTCAAAATAGCTGATATAACATTCTAAGAAAAAGAAAAAAATATTTGTCCAAAGAAGTTTATTATTTTTAACACAAAAAACATTTTTTTTTCTGATATTTTGATTACAATATTGTGATATAGCCGATAAACTTGGGATGCTATTATCTGGAAATGTTAAGTAGGCCGTTTAAAAATATTTGCTGCCTTTCAAAAAGTTAGGGCACATAAAGACATAATTTTTTTTTTTTTTGTGAATTTCAGGCCAATAATTCTTATCAAATTAAAATAAACTCTAAAACTGAAAAAATATTTATCAAAGATTAAACTCGAGAGTATATGAATTAGTTTATTAACTCTCAGTATAAACTTATGCTGAAAATTAAAATTAAATACCTCTTTTCTTTCCATAACTTTTTTTCCTCTAAGTATCTTGAAGAATGTATCTCTTCTGTTAGGTGAAGGTTTCAAAAGTTCAGCAATGTTTCTCTATTGGATTTAAACTACCAATCAAACTTAACATTCATATCTCTTTTAGAAAAGAACAGAAAATGTAAGCTATAAGTTTACCCTGAAATTTTATGTTAATTAAATATATGATAATATAATAAAATTATTATTTTTGTTAATGTTTTAGTTGTTAAACGAGAAAATTGTCAATAATGTTGTGAAATAATATTGAAAAGTACACCTATCACTCCCTATTATAAACATCTTGTTGTAATTTATAAGTAAAATATGTAACTGTTAATATTGAAGTATAATGTATCATAATTTGTTTGTACTAAAACTTATATAAATGAAAGTTGATTATTTATTGCATAATTTAATTTTAAGTTTGGATTAAATCGTAATGTTTCATGTTAAAATATTTCTTATAATAATTTGATTAAGCAGAATTATCAAATCATTATAACTCATTAAGACTGTTTTAATTTATTGGAATAATATTCTATTTGATATTTTACGAGTTTATCATTTAATTGTTGTTTTGATGAATATCAATTTAGAGTTCTTTACTGTGTGGGCTAGACCCTTTCATATGTTTTAATTTTAATTTTGACTTCTGATTAACCAATTGTTAACCTCAGTTGTCAACTTACTTATCAGCTGAGATGACATCTTTTGTTTTTAATATTCTTATTTTAAGCTGAAGTGCCTCTGTCATTTTAAATTAGCTTGAAAGTGTGTAGGATTGTAGATGATTCATGGAATAAAACAGGTATTCATTTCTTCAATATTTTTTCCTCATTTATACTTCCCCATTTTACTTTTACTAAAAGTTAAAGTATTGATAATTTATTTCATTAGTATTGTGTTTTAGGTCAAATTCTTTGTAGGAATGTCTTGCAGAAGTGGATCACTAAGGGCTAATTATATTATGTGATAATTTTTTTTCTACACCAGTTTTAAATTGTTATATCTAATGAAAATTTTTGATTTTTTTTTCAGAATTCATTGGTGAGCTTATATTGGGCAAGTCATATTGTGATGTTTGTGGCAAGTCATATGTGCATCGTAAGGATCTGACTAGGCATAAGCGTTATGAATGTGGAGTCGTACCTCAGTTCCCGTGCGATCTTTGTTCAAAGAGATTCCGCTACAGGTCATCATTGAAAAGTCACTACTTGCTTGTACACCAGAAGAATGTAATTGATCAAGTTTTTAACAAAATCATATGATCATAAATGATATGAGAAGGTAACTATTTTATCTTATTTATTTATACCAAATTGGACTAATGCATGCCAACCTAAACAGTGAATCATTTAATTTTAGAAGAAGATGAAATAGTCAATTTGTAAGAAAACAGTTTGTTATTAATTATTTTTACTTTATTTGTTTTTTGTTTACTCAAATGTTTATGAGATCATTTTGCTGTAAGAAAAGAAATAAATTGTTTTGTTTGTTTTGTTTTTTTATTTAATATGTTAAGCTAGTGTAGGAAGGTTATTGTCTAATTGTGATCCATGCATATTTTGTTTTTATGTCAGAAATATTGATAAAACAATTTTCCTCAAAATCTGTATCATAATTAGACAAGTATACATTTTTAATTTATTTAAATTTTCAACTAATTTTTTTTTTGTTTTTTTTCTTTACAGTTAAGACTGAAGCTGGATCTGAATACACCTGTCAGGGAGGGGAAGGCTCGTTCGTCGTTCAAAGAGCCGATGGTTCGTTCGTCTGCCAGACTCCGGAAGGCTCGTTCGTTTGTCCACGACCCGAAGGATCCTTCATGTGCCAGGCACCAGAAGGACCTTTCGTCTGCGACTTCTGCAAGAAAAAGTACAAGCACAAGAGAACCTTGATGACGCACAAGAAATATGAATGCGAGAACTCCCAGACGATCTCTGGACCACATATCTGCGACAGCTGTGGTAAAACTTATAAGCATAGGCGCAACCTTTGCGCCCATAAAAAATACGATTGTGGTATGGAACCCCAGTTCGCTTGTATGATCTGCTCGAGAAAATTCAAATTTAAAAGTAACCTTAAAGCCCATATGAACGCTTGTCATAAAAAGCATATCGTTTTGACTTTTTCACAAAATCTTAGCCTTCAAGAAAATATTAATATTCAGAAAACTTTATCGCCCTAGGATGGTTTAACTTATATTTGTTAATGTGTTGCTAAAATATTTATAACATGATTCTGTTGTTGGAATAAATTATTCTTTAAGAATCTTTGTGTAATATTTCTTGCAATTGCTATATGTTCTTGTTTTTTTTGTTATACGTGTGTTAATATAATAAAACTTTTTTGATAAAGTTTAAAAAATCAACAAATCCCATGACTGAACATCCATACTAAAGGCCAACATTGTTAATATTATTTAGAGTGAAAAAAGAATAATACATTTTTCTTAGTTGAAAACAATTATTGAAAGTTGATGTGAATAGGAACAGATCCTGCTTAAATTTTTGGGAGGGTAACTATCACGGTGACCACAGTGTTTGTAAAAAAAGTCTTATCTTTAATTTCTATCTTGTGCTATTTTCATTTAAATATACAAAATAGTTAATTAATTTTATCTGTTTAAAATTGTAGGTTTCTTATGAATCTCGTTACTAATAGATATATATATTTTTTTTCGATCGTTATTTTAAGAGGGAGAATTTCCCTTTTTTCCCTTCTTGCGTATCCACCATTGGGTATCAATTTGTAGCACACATATCATATCAAATTTCAATGGTTGTGTTTTCAATATGTTTATTAGATTTTAGTTTACACTAAATGACATTAGCAATATACCCTTAGTGTATGGATCTTTATTCATTGAACTCATTGTATATTTGGATGTACGCAATATACAGCATAAAATTTTTATCAGATGTTTTCAGAACAAAAATAATTTGATTTTTATATAATTTTTGTGGATGTGTTTTTCATTTTCCGATTGTGTAGTCATGTATACAAAGACTGCTTCATAATTGTAAGACAACTAAGCAATATTTGTTAGTTTAAGTACAAATGAGCTTTGTTTTTCATAGAAATGTTCTAATATCACTTGCATCGTTTTTTATTGTTCTAGTTACACTCGTCAGTCGGCTTTATTTATTTAAATAACTGAAATATTTTCTTGGATTTTGTTATAGTAAACTTCTATTTTTATTATTTTATTTACAAAGTTTTTACAATTTTTACCACTTTAATTAAACACATAATTGAAGTGTTTATTGTTTTTTTTGTATTTATTACAAATATTCAATTCATTGCTAGGTATAATATTATTGTATTTGTGTTCTGAAAAAAGAAACTGACATATTTGTTACCTTACTGAAAATAATTTTTTTTATTGATGTATATCTTCCACATTTTTTTATTGTACATATTGTAATGATGCCAATGCACTGTCTAGTCAAATATCTTACTATGAAGATATTTATTGACTGTAAATATATATTCAAGGAAAAGTTGGTTGACAGTGCAATCTTGAGAGACCACACACATTCTTTTAATGCTTGCTGAAGTTTTAGCCTAGGTTTTAGACTTTCAACAGGGCCAATATAAACAAATACTATATCAGAAATAATATGAAAAATGTAGTCTCATGAGACGTTAAAATTATTTGTAATAATTTATTCTGTTCTCGGAAAATCTATATTTTATTATATAAGAACTTTTGTTACATTTTTCTTCCTTGATATTATATTTCTTTAATTACATTCTTTATTTATCTTCAGGAATCTATATAATTTCTTGTAATATTTTTTCATTTATTTATATTTAAATGAGATAGATGGAGATACTGGGTTAGATTAACTCAACATCGATTTGCACATAGAAGAAGTTAAAGAAAGAAAGATATATATTTAAAATGTCTGCATGTGCATTTTCCTCTTTTTCCATATTTAATTATACTTTATTCTAACATAAAATTAAAATTTAAGCTGAAGACATTGTATGAAAGGAATTATGACATAACTTTTGTTTGTTCGTCATAATGAAAACACAAAGGTTATATGATAAAAGTTTTCCTTTAGTAAAATATTTTCTCTTAGAATGAAATATAACTAAATATTTAATAAAATATGGAAAGGAGGAAAATCCAAACATTTTAAAGATATAGAAAAGAAAAATATTATAAATTATGCAAGATGTATTTCTGAAGATGAGAAAAGAATCTTTAAAACGTTGATAATGTTTTGCATGTCTTGAACAAAGGAAATGAATTATTAATGAAGATAAAATTCTCAAAATACTTTATATAATGAAATATGCATAAATAGGTATAAAAAATTGAATTTATTTCTCATTATTTCAATTTTTATAATCACAATAACAATTTTTATATCTCATGCTTTAAAATTATTCTTTGTTCCTTTCATATTTTCACAGTATCTTGTTTTCTTCAGACCTGATGAAGATCTAAAACTTTGGCCAGAATTTAATGGTACATTAAAAGAAGTTTTACACTTGCTATAAATGTTTTCTTTACCACAACCTCTCTTCCCCTCATTCAACCAACTTGTCTTTGGTTTTTCTTTTTAAATATTTTAAATTGGTAAAACTATTTTTAATAAAGAAAGAATAATTATATTGTGGTAAATTATGTGATGAATGTAAAGATTTACTCTATATTAAAAAAAAAAAAGAAAAGAAAAGACAATTTCTTATTTTGGATGCAAATTTTCTATTTAAAATAGAAAAATAACATTTCCTTAATGGTTTTTGGTTATAAAATAAGTTAATAGTTTGTAAAAACCAAATACACCTTTCCAATTCAAATTTTAATACTCTGACAATACAAATTTTCTTATTTTTTAAATAAATTTCTATATTCAGAAATTTAATGAAGGTTAAGCCATCATTTCTTTCTTTACTTTTTAATTATTTAAAAGTTCCTGTTAAAAATTTTGATCTAAGTAACAAATTATTAAATTTGAATACAATTGCTAACATTTTTGAATTTTTTTTTGTTTTCAGATTTTGGTAATCTCAGACAAAGAATCCAGAAGTATCACTCGTGTGAAAAGTGTGGCAAAGTGTATAAACAGAAGCAACATTTGAAGCGTCATATTATTTACGAATGTGATGGAATCCCGCGATTCTTTTGTAAAATTTGTGATAAACGGTTTCGCCGTAAGGCCTCCGTAAAGTTTCATTACTTTACGAAACATAACAGCATGATGGTCGAACAAGATCCATCCGATCAAATATAATCTTCAATAAATATTCCTTTACATATATGTTGTAGATTTCCTAATTATATGTGTATTTTAGATGGCAAGAGGCTGTTCGATTGTGATTCTTGCGGGCGATCGTACAAGAACAAGCACCACTTGGTGAGGCACAAAAGGTACGAGTGCGGTGTCGAAGCACAATTTCCCTGTCAGTTCTGCCACCTTAAATTTAAACACAACAGCTCACTTAAAATTCATATTGGGCATAAACATCTTGGTGTGGATTTAAACTTTTAATTTTGTTAAATTCTTTATTAATAAATAATTTTATTTGATGTCTTTATTAGCTCTTTTATTTACGATTATGTCCTTTTTATAACATTTAAATAGATATTGACAAATATTAGTTTATTTTTAATGTTATAATTTGTATTTACAATTTTTTTTTTTTTTGTCTGCTTGTACATCACCCAATTTATATAATTTAATGAATGTATTGATATTCTTTTTTCGGTTTTAATGAAATATATTCTTTTCTTTATATTTTCTCTTTTTTAGGATTTCAGTTTTCTCCACATATTTGTGATCAGTGTGGAAAATCCTACAAGCACAAATGCACACTGAACGCCCACAAAAAATATGAGTGCGGTGTCGAACCAAAGTTCACATGCGATATTTGTTTTAAGAAGTTTAAGGTCAAGAGCAATTTCAAGGCACATTACATTGTAACACACACTAAGCAAATTTAATTTTAAAATTAGGTATAATTATTAAAGATCTCACATCTTAGAAGATAGCGTTTGAATCCGGATATGCCAAAAGGAACAGACGGACATTTTTGTGAAATAATGTTTTTATAATTTTCATTTTTCTACTAAAACTAGAGTACAATATTTCTCTACATCACATTAGGTGTGGAAATAGCCTTGTTTTTGTTGCAGAAATGAAAAAAAAAAAACAGTTTAGTATATAAAAAACAATTCCTCAAAAAATGTCAGTCATTCCATATTCATATAATCCCATTCCAATAATTTACAAATATATATGTACTGTCAAGGAGTTAAAATATTGTTAATTATGATTTCTTATTGTGTATTATGCTAAAACCACAGGCTTCACATTTTCTAAGCTTTGAAATTGTACTATTGTTTATAAATTATCAAAATTCTCTATTTCCTGTTTTGTATTAAAGTAATAGTATTTGAGTTTACATACGTATATATAAATATATATACATTTTTTTTTTGTAAGTTAATAATTCAGGTTTATTTTTTATCTGAAATAATGACCTTAGAAATCGCATCAAAATCAAGATTGAAATTTACTTTGAAAATATTATTTCCACCATTGTAAATAATGGTATCTGTTATTGACCATTCTGTCCCATCTCCGTAGATAATAAAATTATCAAATAATAGTTCTAATTTTATAACATTTCTGTTTGTGAATATATTATTAAAGCTTGGACGTTTTGGTGTTGATATTTTTGTTTTAGAAATTGGATAAACTTTTTTTCTTCTTGAAACATTATCTTAATCATTCAAGTTATTTTTCTTATGGCATAACATATCTTTTATGACATTTTAAACATATTTCACTAAAAATTGAACCATTTTTGTTTGTTACTTGCTCAGCTTAATTGGTCGACATTTTGAACTATAACGTTCAACTTCATGACCCATTTATCTAAAATAATTATACAACTATTAACGACTTTAAAATACAATTATTATTTAAAAGTAATTTTATAATTATTTATTCTTTATTTTTTTAAATGATAAATTGCTAAAATTTACTATTATATTCATAACTTTTCTTGCAGTTATTAAAATATTTGTCAAATATTAGTTATAATTGAGTCATCATTTTATTTTCTGGAATATTCTCTGTTATTATTGTTATTTGTAACTTATTTCGATAAGTTTAAATGAAATTACGTAATAATAAATAAATATGCATTGTTATTGGCAGCGACTAAGAATAATAACAGTGAATATTTCAAGATGTTCTAGAAAATAAAATGGTGACCAATCAATTTTAACTAATAATTTCAAATAAAGGTATGAATATAATAGTATATTTTGGCAATTTCTCATTAAAATAGATTTAGGTAATGGATTGTTACATGAATTTGAAATAATGAATGTATTTTAAGGTTCATAATAGTTGAATTATTATTTTAGATGAATGTGAACAGTGCAATTTGAAATGTCAACCAAGTTAGTTGAGGATATAACAAAATAAAAGGGTTTTATTCTTAGACAGTAAACTATTTAAAAAATATAATCATTTTAATCCATAATTTTTTGTTGCTGCAGCTGATAACTACTTGTAAATATTATATATTATGAAAATAAATATTTAATATTTATTTCTTCGCGTAAAGAAATGTTCGAAAGCATGAATATATTGAAATCATATTGGTTTATATTCTTAATCATGTCAAAAGTACAAGGTTTGAAGTTTTCAAAATGATACATTTTATTGTCAATACAATTTTGAATGTGAATAAAAATTCATTCATAATTATTTTGTTTTTAATTCCATTCTTTTCTCAATAGCGATTATATTGTTTAAAAAGTTAATATTGACTGCACTCGGTAAGTACTTCAGAAAATGTTTTTATTATTTTTCTCTGTCCATGTTATTAATACTTATCATTTTGAAGGAAAGAAATGGCCAAACGTGTGCGCTGCTTGTGGAAGAAGTTACAAGTACAAAGGCGATCTGTCTCGCCACCAGAAGTACGAATGCGGTGTCGAGCCGAAGTTTAAATGCAATGTTTGTCATAAAAGATTTAAGCAGAAGACCAACTTGAAAGTCCATATTATTAGACATTATTATGACGAAGGATACGATATTACAAAACAGTAAAATTTCATTAAATTTAGAATAAAGTTATTCAAAATTAAAACTAAATTTGTCAACTATTACTAAATTATAACTATTGTTTTAGATTTTAAGAATGGTGTACTTTTTTTTTTTAAATTGATTAATTTTTTATATTCTTTATATAAATTTATTTTGTTTTATCTATTTTAACCATTTTCTGTTTTATATCTAATAAAAAAACATCACTTATTATGTGATAGTTAAACGTTTGAGATTTATATGCAAAGCGTATTTACAAACGCAGTCATAAATGTATATATATACATATATTTTAAGGCTCAGCCGCTACCAAAAGCACAGCTGAGTCAGCTTCCAAAACCAAATCAAAAGTTTTTAATGAAAGCCGGTCACCAGAAGCGGAACTGAGCTGAGAGCGCTGTTGAGCAGCATCGCAAAGCGAAGCTCCGCTCAGCTTTGGCTCGATCGAGGTTCAGTTTTGAAGATAAAATCAGCTCCCCCACCACTGTTTCACAACCGTGTGGCTTTATTCCTCAGTGTCATCCTTTCTTTCTACTTGTTCTCACTTCGCAACCTCTCAAATTATTTTATTTTGGTTCAGTGTAGAGTATGCAATGGATATGGAAGAATTCTTAATCGAATGTTTTAGGGAAAGTATTCGATTTTATATACAAATATTTGATTTTCTTTTTCAACTTTGTTATATTTTTAAAATGTTATAAATGCTATATATATATATATATTTTTTTTTTTGTATTCGCCTCTACCCTAGAGGGTCATTGGCGGTTTTTCTCAATTTTTATATTTTACTATAGTAATTTGTTTCCAATAAATATTGAAAGAGAATGACGACATTTTCCTCCTTGTCTCCCAAAATATCTTTCAATGTTGTCGATAACTTTAATTGTTGTCTCTTTTTTTTATATTGGGGGCACTCTAATAGTAGAGGTGTATTGTCACACTTTTCGCAGGTTGGCGCTTCGAGTCCTCTAAGTAAGTATCCATGTGTGAAAAGACAGTGTCCGATTCGCATCCGGCACAATATTATTTCTTCTCTTCTGGATTTTCTGAAGCTTGTGGTCCATGTGTTGTACTCGGTTTTTATTTCGGCTAGTTTGGCTCGTTGCATTTTCCATTGGTCTTCCCAATTTTTAAATAGGTTTTTTCTTGCTTCATGGATCCAATCTTCAACGGTGATGTGATTTATTGTTGTTATGCCTGATAGCTCTCCCTTTCTCGCCAAATGAGCAGCTTGGTCTGCTTTTTCATTACCCATTATGCCACTATGGGATGGAACCCAGATAAAGACCACACATACTGATCTTTTTCTCATCTCCCACAATACGTTTATTATTTCTCTAATGAGAGAGTTGTTAGGCCATGAGTTATCTAAGGCCGCCAAAACGCTTTTGGAGTCGGTTGCTATGATCCATTTTCTATCTTTGGAATTCGATATCCAATAAAGGGCCTTCATTATTCCAATCGCTTCTCCACTGATGCTCCAATGCTATATATATATATATATACATATATATATATATATTTTTTAAATGTTACGGAATATGAGAAGGATACCGATGCAATCAGTTGCCGAAATTCTCTTGCTACGCTGAGCTTAGCTCAGTTCGGCTGTGCTTTCGGTGGCCGTTCAGCCTAAAATATGGAAGTTGACTTTTATCAGAGTCAGCAAGTCCTACTACAAGAATATTTTTAGAATTATAATGTTTTTTTATCTATAATTTCTTTTGAGTTATTCTTCCATAATTGTAAAGTAGTTTAATTATATTGAATGAAAAATCTTTTGTTTTTATACGATTTTTTTTCCTTAGAACATTCATCTGTTTTAAAGATTGCAATTTATTGTAATTAATCAATGAGGTTTAGTTTTTGTATTTACATATCTTTGCTATTATAACAAATATAAGTCATAAAAATAAATTAGCAAGGTGCACAAAATTGTTCTTAATTGTACATTCATATCCGCTAAACTGTTTACATTTTCTTTTTGTTAGTTCGTAGCTGATTACTTAATATTATCTTACATTTTTTTTTATTAACTTATTCGCATAAAATTAAAGTTTAAAATATATCACATTTTCGTAGTACAATTAAAATATATTTTTTAAACAAAACTTTTTTTTTTATATATCCTTTCTATCCACAATTGTGTTTACTTTGATAATCTAACCTAAATTCACACTCATAGATCAGAGAAGGTAAGCGATTCAGAATGTGCTTTTTTAAAATCTTTATTTATCTTATTGTGTTTCTTTAATAATATAATGTATCATCTTACAGCTGGAGCAAAATGGCCGAATGTGTGTGCTTCGTGTGGAAGGATTTACAAGTATAAAGGTGACTTGTCCCGCCACCAGAGGTACGAATGCGGTGTCGAGCCAAAGTTCAAGTGCGACGTTTGCCATAAAAGATTTAAGCGGAAGACCAATTTGAAAGTACATGTTGTTAGACATTATTATGAGGCTGGAAAAGAAGGATACAATGTCGGGACTGTTAAGAAACAGTAACAAATAAAGTTCTTGAAATTAAACATTTTTTTTTAACTTCTGTTAAAGTTTAATATATAGCTTTTAAGGTATATATGGTATAAATGTGTTTAGTTTATTTATTTTTAATTTTTGTATCAACCCATTTTATTGTTAATTTCTATTTTAACCATTTTCTCTTTTGTACTTTATAGAGGGTGTCTACATACCGAGTATACCAGGAACAATCTGGGAATATTCAGGATTTTTGTCAAACACCTCGGAAAGTCAGGGAATTTTAAGGAATTTATTGCTAAAAAAATGACCAAGTAAAATTTTAAAAAAAATTGATTAAGTAGGTACTTCAACAATTCTTTTCTTTTCAAAGTAAAGTTCAGATAAATTATAATTTTGTAATTTCCTTAGTGGATTTGGTTTCCCAAAATATAATTGTGTATGTTAGGTCTGTGCTAATCCAATAATAATATTATCATATAATTTACTTATGAATTATTCCCAATCACACATTCAGTGCAGGACATGTAGGTCTTTTGTCGTCTTAACTCTCCTTCTTTATCTCTGTCTTTCTTTCTAACCACCCCTAACCACCCTTAATTTGAGATTTTTAGGGATTTAATTACTTTGAAAGAGAAAATAAAATTTATTTATTTATTTGTTTTTTATTGTTGCCTCTACCCTGCAGGGTCATTGGCAACACTTCCTATTTATATTCTATTGTAGAATTTTATTTTTTTTTAAAACTGTAAGGTTTTTTCCACGCGTTTTAGTTGTCGCTGAGGTTTTCTTTTAGGCTCTGAGCCATATTGAGATTTTTCCTTACATTCTCAAATACTGGGCAGTCTTGAATGATGTGTTGGACAGTTCTTTGCACCTTACAGCTCTTGCAGGTCGGTGGGTCTAGTCCTCTTAGTAAGTAGGCATGTGAAAATTCACAATACCCAATTCGTAAGCGGCAGAGGACTGTCTCTTCTTTTCTAGAGAGTCGGTTGCTAGTTTTCCATTTGGAACAGTGGCTTTTTATTCCTTTTAATTTGGTTTCTATTTGTTACCATACGTTCTGCCACATTACCCGCAATTTTTTTTTTATATGATGTATGAAATCTTCTATCGGGATTTCTTTGATTATAACTGTTGGATTTGTATCTAGCCTTCTCGCCATATTTGCTGCTTTGTCTGCCTGTTCATTTCCGACAACATAAAATTGATGTTTTTTAACATTTTTGGACCATACTCAAGCTGGTTTGATTTATAATTTTCATTATTTAGTTTTCATGATAGGTAATCTATTAATATTTTTTATTATTTAAAGAAAGAGAGTAGAAAATTAAATTAAGTTAGAGAATCCGATAACCTTCTTGTAGACACCCTATTTATAATATAACATCACTAATTATGTGATGTAAAACTTTCGAGATTTATATTAAATACCTTCACATGAACATACATTCATAAATGTATGTATGCCATAATAATGAATGGGGAACATGGCTGTCGATGAATTTCATAAAATTATTTTTAAATTTTTAATTGTAAATATTTAAATTTAACAATACACAACAAGAATTATTTTTAGATGTATAAGCTGTTTTTAGTTATAATTTATTTTGATTTGTTCGTTCATTATTGTCAAGTAGATAAATTATATCCAAATTAAAAAAAAAAGTTGTTATTATAATTTTTTCCCCCACTATAGTTATCTTTTATGATTACTTAATTAAAAAGAATTACAATTTATAGAATAAGAAATAAAAATACCAATATAAAAACTATTCTAATTTATTGTATATTCATATCAGCTGTATTGATGATTACAGATTATTTTTTCTCTCAAGAGAAAGTTAATAATCTAAATGTAAATTTAAAATATTGTACATTTTCTTTAATACATGAACATGTTTTTTAAAAATCAAAATATATATTTTTAGATTTCTTTCTATTCACAATTGAAATGGTGGCTGGAAAAATATTTGATGTAATTTTTTTTTTAGTAGAATAAATTTTGTTGTAACTTGCTGCATATAATAGTTAAGGATGTTAAGTTCTCAAATTAATCGTTAGATTGCATCAATCGGTTAATTTGAGAAATTTAAAAACCAACCAAAGATATAAATTCTGAAAGAAAATTACTTCCAACTTTTTTCCTGCTACCGATTCTTTTGCGGTTACTATAATCTTTTATCTATGATAGTCTTGGTCCAAACAAGGTAAGAGTTTTAGAATGTGTTTTTATCATTATATTTCTTTATGTAGTTGTATTTTTATAATAATTTACTTTATCATCATGCACTAGGAACAAAATGGCCGAATGTCTGTTTCACTTGTGGGAGGAGTTACAAATACAAACGTGATCTCTGTCGCCACCAGAAGTACGAATGCGGTGTAGAGCCAAAGTTCAAGTGTGATGTTTGTCATAAAAGATTCAAGCAGAAGACCAATATGAGAGCTCATGTTTTCAGGCATTATTTTAATGTTGAAATTCCCCAAAAGTAATGTCCAATTAATCATGACTAAACTTTTGTCGTTATTAACAGATTATTGTTCTAAATCAGATATTGTTCTAATGGGGATATTGTTCTAAATCAGATATCCTTAAATAAAGAATGATGTAATTATGTTGATTTAAAATTGTTTACAATCAAATTTATTTTATAAAATCAAAATATGTGTAAAAAAAACCTCTTAAGACATATATATATATATATATATATATATATATATATATGTAAGATAATTAAATACTTATGTATGATTTTTTAAATAATTATGTATTAGAAAAATTTTTAAAAATGGTTTATTTTGCCTGAATTGGCTTAAATATAATATATATATATATATCAATAAAACTAGGTTGATTATTATTTTTCATTATATTTTATATGAGTTTTTGAACACTCCTTGTTATTATATTTTATTTTTTAATTCAACTTTTAATGCATAATTTTTCAATAGTATAATTGACAGATTATGTCAAATTAAGGGCTAAGTACATAATTTTTAAAGTAATCTGTTTTATGTAATTCTTTGAAAATTTAATTTCTTTACTTAGCCCTTAAAATTTGAAAGTGAGCTTAATTATAATAATTAATCCATTAATGATTAATTGTGTGCTATGCATATATATACCATACAGTGTTAGTCCATTACATTTGGGCATTACTCATTATATAAATTGCTTTTTTGTTTAATTGTAAATAATTTAACTGTTAATAATTAAATATTCAATGATTATGTTATCAACAATTATGATGACAAATTAAAATAAACAAAAAAATATATTATTTTTTTTTTTATTCCTATTATCAATCTTATTAAAATATATTATTATTTACCACAATCAGACAATAAATAATAGTTATAAATATTATGTTTAATAAAATATACAATAATAAATAAAGAATAGAATTATTCACATTCTGGCACTTTTTTTTAATAATAGGTACAGTAGACTCTCGCTAATCTGATTAAAATTAAAGGGATTTGGGTTACCAAATAGAACGATTATTAATATTATTCTTTTACTATTTTCTTGTGAAATCAGAAATTCTCATTTTTTTTTTTGGAGCTTAAAATAATTTTTTTAAGTCCCTCTGTATTTCCTTCAGCAATAGAATCTAAAAATTAAAACATTTTTTTTTTAAATGAAAACTTGTTTTGCACTTTTTTTGTGTAGAGTAAATGAAATGAAATGAAATGAAAAAAATGTTTTATTATTCTGGGACTGTTGTCCCTTAAGAACAAAATATGAATACAGATTATATGTCTGTGTGGCTACAATTGAATTGTATATTTACAATGAAAGTTGACTTACGATAAAAATACAGAAAAGAGAAAAAAAGAACAAGTAAATTGTACATATGTATGATAAACTAAAATAACCTTAATAAATTGAGGTACTCTCTGGTGGTGCTCAGATATTTCTCTGAGATATATTTCACATTCATTCGGATTGAGAAAGGAGTAGGTGCTTAAAGAGGAGTGGTTTAAACGAGGAAACTGATTGAGCGTGTCGAATATCAGGTGGGATGGAATTCCAGAGGAGGCGGCTTGTATTGCAAAGGATTTGTCAAACGCAGCAGTTCGGTGAGGAGGAGGATAGAGGTCGGAAGTACGAGATCTGGTGGGACGGGATTGGATGGAATATTTGAATTGTAAGCTGTGAAAAATGTAGGAGGGTCGATGGGTTCTAATAATTTGGTACAGAAAGGTGGCTAGGAAGTACTGACGGCGATAGGATGGGTAGAGCCACCTCAACTCAGTGTAATACTGGGTAATATGCGTATCCCTTGAGATTCCGAAAACAAATCGTAGTGCGCAATTCATTAGGCGTTTAAGTTTGGCCTCGGAATCTCCCGGGAGTCCACCGTACACCATACAGCCGTAGTCGAAGTGGGGGAAAACAAGGGAGGAAACTAGGAGTTGACGGGACTTATATGGAAGGAGATATCGTAGACGATTGAACTGTTTTAGGGTGGAGATAGTGCGACGGGAAATTTGGGAGATGTGAGGTTTCCAGGATAGGGATTGATCGAAAGTAACACCTAGGTTTTTAACGGTGGTGTAGAATAAGATAGGTGAGTTGTTCAGGAAGAGACTGGGAGATACTGGGGAGGATTTGAGGAGTGAAGGGGATCCGATCAAGATGGCTTTTGTCTTCTCGGCGTTCAGAGTGAGCCTATTGAGGTTTGCCCAAGCACTTATTCTGTCAATATCTTCCTGAAGTTTTTGAGTGGCATCTGAGATATCTGTCGGATTAAAGGAGAGGTAAATTTGAATGTCGTCGGCATACAGGTGGTAATGACAGTGCAGGATAGAGGATGGGAGGTCATTTATATAGATGGAGAAAAGGGTGGGGGATAAGGAAGAGCCTTGTGGGACGCCTCTGGTCAGAGGTAGAGATTCTGATGGTGGGTTATTAGGAATTACAACGTACTGGGAGCGACCGGTTAGGAAGGATTGGAACCAATTAAGGGAACTAGAAGAAAAAGAGATATTTTTAAGTTTGGTTAGGAGGATGTTGTGGT